CCTTGGGAACTGTAATTGAGTATAAATCAATTATGGATAAGATTTATTTCGATAAAGCCTCGCAGTGTTATATGGCAATATTTACTGATAACTTTTCGAGGACAATTTATTGCTCCTGACCATACCAAAAATATAAACTAGCTGTGAAAAGACACAACATGTATTCCTAAATATCGATGCATGTAGAAAACTATGGACATCAATATTGACTAGGAAGATGGTTCTCTAACTGGTATCAACCCGCGATCAAACTTAAACAGATCAAATCCTTATGAACAAACTCTTGAAAAATAATCTTAGGCTCACTAATGACTGACTACAGAACAACGTTGCTTAGAATTCTAATGAAAGTTCGTGACCAGTAGCGTCCATCAGGTTGGATGTGACGACAAATACCCACTAATGACATTGGTTGACAGTCGCGTTGAAATAGCGAGTCGAATGAAGTAAGAATTCACAGGTTATTGAATTCGAGGCAAAGTGGCTGAATGGTCAAGGAGCTTGGCCTAATAACCTGAGGTCTCGGGTTCGGTCCCTGGTAAGGTCATGGGTGTGCACTGGTGAAGAACGACAAACTAAAACGAAACATCTGTCCAGTACTCCCTAGTTTTCAATGGTTCTCTAACTGACATCAATCCGTGATCATACTTGAAAATGTAAAAAGTTTAAAAAGTACAAACGCCAAAAATGCCTGGGAATTCCTAGAAACCAGAATCAGAGATTAGCAAACACATTACTATAGACCATGATTAAATCATCCAGCTCAGAGAACGCAATGTTCAAAGAGTCTTCAGTCTATTATCATAGGTTTATATCAAGATATTTAGCAAGACAAATCGACCTTACAGTACAGACTAAACGACGTAAAGAATAAGAAATCTTTGAGGAATTTTTATGTGCCCAGACGAACAATAATAAAGCATTTCTAGATTCAATTTATCGTGTGGTTGACAAGGCTTAACCTAAGATCGAGTAGCTATTCATTTCCCTAAAGCTTTCAATAATCTTCTCATTGAAGCTGACCTTGGAAAAACAACTAAATCTCAAAGGTATTTCACAAGTATAAGAACAAATTATTATCCTACCAGTAGATTAAAAGTAAAACATAACACTAAACATAATAAACAAAACAATTCTGTAATATGTGATTATTTTTATAAATGAGTCGAATGATTTTACCGACATACCAGAATATTACGCTTTCCAGTGTAGTGATAATTTCAAAATACTGTAATGGTAAATATTAACTTTAATAATAATTTTTTTCAAAAAAACAAGGGTGATAACTATGACAGTATTTTATGAAGTTAGCAAAATGTATATGCTTTCTAAATAATTTATTTCGGTTAATTTTTATATCTCTCGTTGACTGATGTATATTTGACCAAAATGTTCGGCCTCTGTTGATGTAGAAGTTTCTATTTAGGAAACTTCAACGATATCTGAGGACTGGCATGATGTTATTCAGTGAATAGTAACTTACAAGCGAATCTGGAATTCACATTTCATCCTACTTGAACACTTGCAAGCTGGATTTACCTACAAAAGCCAGGATGTGGAGCAGTCCTTACAGAGAATTGTGAACCCAGCACCCATCGTTCCGAACGCCAAGGAGTTGTTCACTAGACCAAATGGGCCGCGAGAGCTGCCTCTTGTGGTCAAATGGGACGAAATGTGCATTCTGGATTCCACTGCCAGTCTCCATCTATCAAACAACTTTGTAAATAACATTTAAATGGTATCTGGAAAAAACCAAACATTTTATCATATTACTTGCTTTTTTCCTCTAACCAGTCTTAAATGATTTCTTTCTTACATCTTTCATTCATTTCATTTTATTTTAAAAACGATGAAATTGATGAAATTATCATAAATTACTTCTGTTATGTGTACTTGACTGGAATAAGAAAACTGTATAAAATGTATTTTTAAAGAAAGCTTCACTGACTGGATAAACTCGTATTTCACAATCAACTTTTATTGTGAACATCTACAAAATACTTTACACTTTAGGAATAAATTATCCTCAAGCTCTTATAAGTTTATCATCCATTTTTTTTGTTTCCTAACACAACAGTGTATATACGGAGAAATTCACCCGACAAAACAGTTGAAAACATTTATTTCCCAATACGAATTTAAAACAAGCAATAAAGGTTAATAAAGCAGGATTTAATAAATTCATCAAATTTCGGTAGAACTCGTCAGCTGATATATATACTTTTCAAATTACATTGGGAGATATAAGACTTATGATAAATAGATAACATTGAATTAGTTCCATATTAGTTTGTTTATTACATGTATCACACAGTGAAACAGTATTGTATACTGGATGACGTTTCGATCCCACAATTTATTGTTCATAATCATATCAATTGTGGTCACACGACTTTGAGATTTGAGTTTTATAGTTCTCTTCATATCTTGCTTCAGTTTGTGAAAGTCGAGTGAGTTTATTGATAAGTCTTCGTACAGGAAGACCTTAAGTCATGTTAATATATGTGTATACAGTATACAATACTGTTTCACTGTGTGATACATCTAATAAACAAACTAATATGGAATTACTTTCTACCACAGTGCCCAATATTAACATTGAATTAGTCATACAGAAAGACAGGTGCGAATGACAAAACGATATATAAAAGACCGAAAAGAAAGCAATTTTTTTTTAAAGTAGTAGCGTTATGGCCGCCAGTGGATTCTATTCCGACAGATCTATGCACTGGTATAACCATTTGTACTTCATTTTAAGCGTCAGAATGCATCTATAGAGAATAACAACAACATGGCTTGGTTTATTCTACGGCACCACCACATAATGGAGTTGATTACTGCTTCCTCTAACCAGTCTCAGAAGTTGAACATACGAACGATATATAACCTATTGTGATACGATAATCGTAATAAATGAGTAAGCAGAGAGTTTGCCTATCATAATTATCATAAAATAGCTGATTGATTCTCTTTATCAGCTTTTTACATCAGTGGCAGAGAGGCAGAACAGATTTTTCCCACTGCCTACATCATATTCATTTATAATACAATACTTAACAAATAATTAGAGGAATAAACTATACATTGGTGGAAGAGAATAAGGCCCTATTCTCCTTTGTCTCTGAACAGATAAACCGAATTAAGAGAACAATAGCGACAATGATAACGTCAGTAAATTTGTATCAATAACAAAGGATCCCAGGCAGGATGGAAACAAATAAACAATAATAGCGTAAGAGATGAGAGAATAATTCTTAGTAAGTTTAGCAACTTTCCAATTTCATTGTATGCACACTTGTACTTGCATCTTACCCAAAACTTGTATGTGTGTGTGTAAAGTATATAAACGTAAGGCCAAACAGTCGATTAGAAAGTATAAAAAAAGAATACACGGAAATAACAATAAGAGCAGTAATAACGATAGTAACGAGCATATAAATACAAATAACAGAAAAACAAAGCGCAATTTAAAATAGCAAAACTGTTTATCTTTCACTTTACAAAACGAAAACAACCTCTTTTAAAAGTATCCTCCAGTGGGAAAATGAAGAGAAAATCTGTGGGAAATAAGACGAACACAATCTGCTGTTACTTATCAACAATAAACTCCTACTTACATGAAAAGAAGTAAAGAACAGTAGTGTTAATGAGAAGATATGACAGTGGTTTACAGACAAAGGTTATATATATATATATATATATATATATATATATATAAGCTCGTAGTTGGTGTCTTGATGACCCAAGATGATTACAGATTTTACCGTCGATTGATTGATCCAAAGTGCTCGGTCTCAAGTTGACATGCCGGTTTCTTGTGCAGATGCTTCGACGATGCCTGGGCGTATAATTAGAAGTTAATTGGTGGATGGTGACTAGCAGTGGAATTCAGGATGCGCATTTCGTCCTATTTGGGACTCGTCATTGAGACCAAGCACTTCGGTCCAATCAATCGACAGGAAAACCTAAATTGAGTTAATTAGTTAATATGACCCGTCGCACAAGAGGTGGCTCTCGTGGCCCAAGTGATCTAGTAGACAACGCTTTTGCATTTGAAACTATGGGCACTGGGTTCGAGCCTCGGTGGGAACATCATCACTCACTGCGGAATGCAGGTACGTCCAAATGATGAGTCCCGAATAGGACGAAATGTACATCCTGGATTCCACTGCTAGTCACCATCCACCAATTAACTTCTCCATTTAACAATTTGAAAGGTCCACTTCTATTTTGTCTGCTCTCACAGGCTCATAGCACTCTTTTATCATATCTTCTAATTTTACCTGCAATCTGAGCATAGTTTTTTTAGCCTCAAAGAAGCTGTGGACTTTCCATGTCACCCTTCTTACTTTTGCTTTCATCGAAAGCAGACACATTAGTCTACTGGTTTTCCGAAGGCTAATTACCCACCGGTAGCATCCACCCTCAAAATGAAGAGTCTTTCCGATTCCAGTGGAGAATGCTTTTATTGTTCCCGTTTCTTTTATAGTTTCAGTAACAATTGGGATCTCTTTTTTCGCAGTAATGTGTAATGATTTCGCCGGGCGTAAATATGAATGCTAGTTTACGAAGATAAACGCTGGATAATTTCCTGGTCAATTACTCCCTGACCCGAACTATTAAATTCAGAAGATCCACATAGTAGGGCTGGAAAATGTGTATTTCCAATCAGGTGTGAGAAAAAGTGTCCAAGAGTACGAAAACATATGGCATATGTTGGTTCAGTCATAAGGCTCGAATGGCAGGCGTTAACTGCATACTGGATTCTAATTAGTTGACAATCTTCATGAGACGTGCGATTTGTTGTTATCTGACTTACAAGGTAATGAGACAGATTTCCGATGTATGTCAGATTGACAGACTTATGAGGTACACTATGGGTAAGTATCATGGTGTTCCCAATCTCAAACATGAAATTCCCTCTTTACCAGACCTAAATACCGGTTGGCATGTATATATATGCTCGTAAGACAAGTCAAATATAAAGTGCAAGCACATACCTGCTCAGGAGGTCCAGGTTGAAAAATGCATAATCTCCATTGACCATATTTAATTTATGCGCTTCTAACATAATATTTCGTACCACTTCTGGATCTGTGCACAGTATGACAACTGCAATAAAAATTGAATAGACGGAGAAAAAAAATAGATGAATTAGTTATTCTGATTTGATTTGTGTCAGTATTGTAACCAAATAAATTATTTCAATTATTCTTCCTATTCTCATATTCTTCAACAAAAGGCAGTGAAATAAACAAATTGGTGATGATTCCATCTGTCATAACCTTGGATCAACAGGCTATCATGGATGAAATGGGTTGACACATGGTGAGACTTCATTCTGAACAGCGATAGGAATCGAACTCACAGCTTATAGCTGAGTGATAGATCCCACTGAAACAAGCAGTCTGGATCAACACAGCTGTTAGTATGCATCCAGCTGCATACAATTACACTATAGGATGGACGAGGTGAAGTAAAAGTATTCAAGACAAGACAGTCGGGTGAAGAGCTAGGTTGATCACAGAATCGTTGTCCACCAAATCAACAACAGTAGTAGGAATTATGCAATATCAATATCAGATATATGTAACGTTGGATTAAAAACAGGAAGAGGCATAACTATATCAAGTGTTATATCTACACTTAAATGTCCTGAAGTTTCTTCTACTACTCCATCCATCGGGTAGTATTTTTAAAATAATTCATTGCAATATTCATATCCGATCTGATTGATTACGCGCGCTTTTCGACTACTGCGTTACATTTTGCTTATTAATAAAAACTCTCGTTTCTGTAAAATTTTATGCCAAGAGTTTGTGGAAACTATCACAATTATTTACCTTTCGAACACTGAATCCAAGAATACAATCTTATTGACAGATAATACATATAACTAACTATTTGGATTTGTGGAATTTTTAAACATAAACACATCTATAATTGTATATATTGTTGGATTTACATGTTCAAGTTGCTCCAAGTCAGTGAGTTTATGGTTGAGATATCATTTTAGTTAACTGTGCTGAACTATATTGCATGTTGTTTTATTGTATAGTTGTTGTCGCTTTTTGCCCTTTTTTCTGTGAACTGTTTCCTTTGTTGATGTTGTTCTCATTGTTTGTCCGTTATTTTCTGATTTTGAGGGGAGCAACCCAAAAAGTCGCTTCTCTCTAAACTTTAACTTAATGTAATCATTCCTTTCTCAGGCGTGAGGCTAGCAACCCCACCCTGTAAACAAAATTGCTACAGAAACTTCAGTATGATGAACCTCTTTGCACCAAAAGAAAAAGTCTGTGTGGGAACATGGAACGTCCGAACTATGTACGAGACTGGGAAAGCTGCCCAGATCGCCAACGAGATGAAAAGATACGGAATACAAGTGCTGGGAATATGTGAAAGCAGATGGAATGGGAGTGGACTCACCAAATTGTCAACAGGTGAGTCAGTGATCTACTCCGGTCACCCAGAAGATAACCACACGCACACCGAGGGCGTGGCTATCATGATGTCACCAACGGCAACGAAAGCCCTGATACAATGGGAGGCGATTTCGTCCAGGATAATGACCGCCAGATTCAACTCCAAAGGAAGGAAAGTGTCAATCATACAATGTTATGCACCCACAAACAACGCAGACCTCGAAAAGAAAGAAGAATTCTACAGGCAACTACAGGCAACAATGGACAATACTCCAGCTGGCGACATGAAAATACTAATGGGAGACATGAACGCCAAACTGGGACCAGACAACACAGGAAGGGAACTCATCATGGGTAGAGAAGCTCTAGGAGAAATGAATGAAAACGGAGAACTCTTCGCCGACTTCTGCGCCTTCAACGAACTAGTGATTGGTGGCAGTGTATACAAGCACAAAGATATCCACAAGGCTACATGGGTGTCACCAGACGGGCAAACCAAAAACCAAATCGACTTCATCTCAATCTCAAGGAAGTGGAGGCGCAGCCTACTGGACACAAAAGCAAGAAGAGGAGCAGACGTTGGCTCAGACCACTATCTCGTACAAGGGACAATCCAAATCAAATTAAAAGCTTTCAGGGAATCAGGAGCTGCAGATAGACCACAAGCCAAGTTCAACACTCAAAAGCTGAAGGACCAGGCTACAAAGGACATCTTCATTGCAAGCATAAAGGACAAAGCCGAGACACAAATCAACACCAGCGAAAAGGTCAGCGTCGAAAAGCACTGGAACAACTTGAAAACGGTGTGGAGCCAAACCTGCATAGAAATTCTAGGCAGAAAAAAGAGACAGGACAAACAGTGGCTCACTACGGACACTTGGAAACTAATAGAAGAGAGAAGGACAGTGAAACAAAAGATTATCCAGTGCACTGACGAGCAACAAAAACAGGAGCTGAATGCAAGCTACAATACACTGAACAAAAGAGTGAAGAAGAGTGCCAGGGAAGACAAAAGAAAATATTATGAAACCATGGCAAACGAAGCAGAACAAGCTGCAGGCAAAGGAGACCTCGCCACACTCTACCAAACAACTAGGAACCTTTCGGGCAAACGTTCGACACAGATTAAGCCAATAAAGGACGACAATGGAAAGTCAATCACCAAAGAGGTGGAACAGAGAAAGCACTGGGTTGAACACTTCAAAAGACTTCTAAATCGTCCGCCACCTACAACACGCCCAGCAATACCAACAACGGAAGCAGAACTACCAGTGAACACTGACCCCCCGACGAAATCAGAAGTCCTGAATGCAATCAAGATGCTAAAAGCTGGGAAAACACCGGGACCAGATGGAATCCCAGCAGAAGCTTTGAAAATAGACCCAGAGACAACAGCGGACTTGATGACACCACTGCTGGAGAAGGTGTGGAAAGAGGGCAAAGTACCCGAGGATTGGAAGAAAGGATACTTATTCAAACTTCCAAAGAAAGGAGACTTAAGTCAATGTAAAAACTGGCGTGGAATTATGCTTCTGTCCATTCCAAGCAAGATACTAAGTCGCATCATCCTGGAGAGAATCAAACAAGCCCTAGATGAAAAACTTCGTCCGGAACAGGCTGGATTCAGGAGAAACAAATCATGTATTGATCAAATCGCCACTCTACGGATCATCATTGAACAAAGCTTGGAATGGCAGTCACCTCTCTATCTCAACTTCATCGACTTTGAAAAGGCCTTCGACAGCGTCGATCGAGAGGTCATTTGGAAACTACTTCGCTACTACGGGGTCCCATCGACAATTATACACCTCATCCAACAGTTATACGACAATGCTGCATGCCAAGTAATCCACAACGGGAAACTTACGGAAGCCTTCGAAGTGAGGACGGGAGTGAGGCAAGGCTGTCTACTATCACCAATGATCTTCCTGATTGCAATTGATTGGATAATGCGACAGACAACGGCAACCAACGAGGGAACAGGCATAAAATGGACTGACACAAAAGACTTGGAGGATCTGGATTTCGCCGATGATATATGTCTGATTTCCCATAAACTGGAAGATATGCAAGTGAAAAGTAACAAGTTGGCAGAAGAAGCATCAAAGATAGGACTTCACGTGAACATAGATAAAACAGAGGTGATGAAGATTCCTAGCCAACAACAACAACAGACAGCAAACAGCCAGCATAAATGGGAAGAACCTGAAAGAAACAACCTCCTTCACCTACCTGGGAAGCATCGTCTCAACTACAGGCGGAACTGACGAGGATATCAAAGCCAGAATCGGAAAAGCAAGACAAGCTTTCATTACTCTCAAATCTGTGTGGAGGTCAACAGCACTCAGCATCAAAAATAAGATCCGGATTTTCAACTCCAATGTGAAGTCAGTGCTACTATACGGATCAGAGACTTGGCGAGTCATAAAGAGCATCTCAAACAAACTTCAGACCTTCATTAACAGTTGTCTTCGCTCAATACTCAAGATCAGATGGCCAGAAAAGATCAGCAACAGGGATCTCTGGGAGCGAACCAATCAGGAACCGATTGTGAAACAAATAGGCAGGAAGAAATGGAGATGGATTGGCCATATGCTGAGGAAACCATCAAGTGACATCACTAGACAAGCCCTCGAGTGGAACCCGAAAGGGAAGCGGCGAGTTGGTCGTCCAAGAGTGACTTGGAGGGAGACATGTGAAGAGGAGATGAAAACATGTAGCCAGAGTTGGAGTGGGGTGAAAATTATTATTATTATTATTAAAAAGTCGTCAGGAAACCGAAGGCAATGGGGAAGCGCAGCTGAAGCCCTATGTTCCTTTAGGAACTAAAGGATACAATAATAATAATATTCATATCCACCACAGTTATACAACGTAATAACCTTGTTAAATGCTTAACTTTTTTTCACTTCGAAGACTGGTGTAAAGAGGTTATTAGTGAAGTTGACTGACTAAGCCACGAAAGATCAAGTTGCCAACATAGTCTTGATTTTACTTCAATCGCTTTAAGTTTAGTTCATTTGTTATATGTACACATAAATGACTGTAGTCTTTTTGGGGTATCTTGATCATTGTATTAACTATCCAGCTACTTTACTTTTTTGCTTTTTTTTAGTAATACTGACCAACTGAAGATACTGAATACTAAATGCTTCAAATCTCGATAGGTTTTTACTACCTTTAATAGACACTCCGTAGAGCTGTAATAGCAGAACAGAGGAAGAATGAAAATGAGCTGCATGTTTAATTTCTTAATGCAATTTATGGTATAATTTGGGAAATTTTCTTTAAGCCTTCTGTAACCATCCTGGGCTATTGTCTTGGATATAAAAAGTGTAAATTATAAGCTCTCAAACAATTTATCAATGTGACACAGACACATAATAATTTTTTTGTTGTTGATCTAGCTAACGAGATCAAGTCTAGAGGAGATTCTAAATCTCTGGATTAATTAAAGCTAACTTGCTAACCTAATTTGGTTGATAAGGGAAGAAAAGATGAATTTCTTATAACTTTAATAAACAAAAGAATTGTATAGGGCAGAATAATAATACTAACTACATTTGATACACTGACGTAATTACAATTATACAGTTATTTGCACTCACATTATGTTACTACATAAGTATACAAATAAAATTAATTTTAATTAGATGACACATAACTGGTTATCGTGAGACTGAAGAAGAG